CACAAATACTCCCACATACAGATACACAAACGCACACGCACACTCGCGCGCGCGCACACGCACACGCACACGCACACACACACACACACACACACACACACACACACACACACACACACACACACACACACACACACACACACACACACACACACACACACGCACGCACACGCACACACACACATTCACATATTCACACATTCACACATTGCTTGCACTGAAGCATGCCCACAGCCATTTCCGACTTTTCCAAATGAAAGACGCGCCACCGGCTGCCGCTAAAAGGGTCTACCAAAAGAGATGCGAAAAATCGAGACATCCTGCACTTGGAAGTTGGTTTCTACGGACGGCAATTCTTGTCTTGCGAACTATGTGGAAAAAGCAACCAAAATAAAAACTTGTGATGTTAATTAGAATTAGTTTTACTTTCGCTTCCTCGCCGTTTTCTATGACGTTGAATAAGTGGGAAAATACAGCCTCCTTCATTTTCTTCCGTCTGATGACGAGCACTGTCAGTTTATTTCGAGGGAAAAAAATTGTTCTTTTCTTTCTGTGCTCGAGAGTTCTTTGAGGGGAGGGGGAGGTAGGGAGACGTGGCCGCCCACAAACTTCGTCAGGGCGGTGTCTTCACTAAATATGTATGTTTTTTTGAAGAAGAGGGAGAGGTATTATATGTTGAGGCAGATAACATGTCGTTAAATGAAAGCCTACCATTTGTACTTCCAAATCGAAGGTATCCGCAGAATTTGTCCGGGATATTAGTTTTAAAAAAATATGGTTTATTATTTTTTTTATTTGTTCTTTGTTACATCGAAAAAATGTGTCTTTATATGTTTGCTGAGAAACTAACTGTGCTGTGCACTGTAATGGGTGAAGGGTGTTGCACAGTCCCCCTTATATACACAAACATTAAGTATATGCACTAACACCAAAGAAGCTATATATGGTACAACCGGGACGACCGCGTTAAGGTCATGGTCGTAACACAGAGAAGAATGTATTGATTGCGAGTGTGATGCAGTTATGCAACATCGTGTAAGTGACATCGTGTAAGTGAGATAGTAAGAGTATGAGAGAGAGAGAATTAGATATAGTGATGGTGAGAGACAGAGACAGACAGAGAGTGACAATGACAATAACAGCGAGTGACAGAGACAATGAGAGACAGAGGTATAGACTGAGGCTGAGACAGAGTGAAAGGTTATGAGGGATAGAAAGAATTGCTCATTTGATTAGATATTAAATGGTTCGATTTTTGTTTTACATATGGAAATGAATGAACTGCATTTCTGATTCAAACTAACTCGGTATTACTTAATGAGTAGAGAGTCTATAACGAACAGATGTAGTTGGATTCCATAATGTCCCATAATTTTATATGTATGCTTATCAAGATACTACCAACGTGAACATGAATATCACCCTGATATTACGATAAGAAAATGATCGAGATATCCGAGGAGAGCATCGAGGTCAGGAAAAGTTTACCCAATCAATATATACAATGTTGTTTCCAGAAAGTATTTCGAGCAGTTCATTGAAGGAAGGAAATGAATTCGGCATGTAACGCCCTGTCTTGGCGTAATTGGGATAATAATTGGCCGATGGAGTATTTAGTGTCAAAAATATTTAAAGAAGATTATTAATCGATGATCATGTGCCCTTTTCCTGGTGTGATTTGGAAAAGAAATGGCCGATCGAGCAACTTGTGCCAAATATTAAGTGTTCGCCACAGCAGACGGCGTTACAAATGATGCCTCTTTCCTGGTGTAATTGGGAAGTGAAATAGGCGTTCAAGCGCTTAGTGCAGAAAAATAAGTTTTGGAAACATGTTGATAAATCGGTCATTCTCGGCTCGAAAAATATATAGGCTATTGGCTTCCGATATGTATCGGGTAAAATGGAATATCAATTTTGCCGAATATTATCTGACAGGCTGGAATGCTGTTTGAATTAGGATTTTAAGCAGGGTCGATAAATGTTGTGCTCCCATTTGTGTTTCCCATTAAGCACACAAAAAATGTAGTTGATTTGTCAATACTCATATCCTTGACAATTTGTGATATTGCTCTCAGTTCACCTTTTCTTGATTTTCGACATTGGAATGAATGTAGTAGGAAAATAACTGTTTGTGTGTTTACGTAGGCCTATTTTTTTCTCGTGTCTAAATTAGATAGTTAATAGTTATGGATTGTTTATTCGGTACATTTAACCCACAGAATGCTGGTGTTGTCATGCATATTTTGTTCAATGTTTAATAATGAATACCAGCTGTAAACGGCCATGGTAATATTGACTAGTTTGGTATTAGCAATTCAAAATGCGAAAACTCCATTGCTTTAGTGTGTGTTATTATATTGTTTGTCATTTCCAGCATTATCCTGTCCGTATATACCGTACAGTTTTTTAACCAAGTTAACACACATTATCTTTGATTGTTTTATGTAATTCATTGTTTTAGTTATTTTGAGATGCGATTTTGATTGATTCGTTTCTTTGTGAAAGTGTGAAAATACAGAATTCTATTAGTCGACTACAAATATATATATATATATATATATATATATATATATATATATATATATATATATATATATATATATATATATATATATATATGTATATGTATATATATATGTATATATATGTATACGTATATATATATATATATATATATATATATATATATATATATATATATATATATATATATGTATATATATGTATATGTATATATATATATATATATATATATATATATATATATATATATATATGTATATGTATATATATATATATATATATATATATATATATATATATATATATATATATATGTATATGTATATATATATATATATATATATATATATATATATATATATATATATGTATATGTATGTATATGTATGTATATGTATGTATATGTATGTATATATATGTATATATATGTATATATATGTATATATATGTATATATATGTATATATATGTATATATATGTATATATATGTATATATATGTATATATATGTATATATATGTATATATATGTATATATATGTATATATATGTATATATATGTATATATGTATATGTATATATATGTATATATATGTATATGTATGTATATGTATGTATATGTATATATATATATATATATATATATATATATATATATATATATATATATATATATATATATATATTTGTATATGTTGTGTATATATGCCTTTTCATATATAGTGTTTATGTATATATAAACATTATATTTATAACTCTGTATCTATATCTCTCTATCTATATCTGTCTATCTATCTATATATATATATATATATATATATATATATATATATATATATATATATATATATATATATATATAAACATGTGTAGAAATTAAATAACAAACGGTGAGAGACTATATGAAAGCAGGTGATGAATTCAAGACAGTTAGTTAAACAGGCTATCAGACAGACAGACACGCAGAAATATGCTGAGACAAACAGTTCGCTTATTATAAAGGAGGAAACACAGGAAGAGCGAGAGAGAGAGAGAGAGAGCGAGAGGGAGAGAGAGAGAGAGCGAGAGGGAGAGAGAGAGAGAAAGGGAGGGAGGAGGAGAGAAGAAGAGAGTGTAGAGAGAGAGAAGAGAGAGAGAATAAAACTCATTATCCATACAAAGAAACGAAAATCCTCTTAACCTGAATAATTTTACAACAAGAGGAGCAGGCGGGCCGGGGAGGGGGGGGGGGTCTCAGTCGGGAGCGGGTCAAGGGATGCAGGGAAGGGAGGGGGGAAGGGAGTGGGTGAGGGGGGGGGGTCGAAGGGCATTCTCGAGGGGGCTTCTTTAAGCGGAGCAACTCTTCATTTGAAGCTCTGACTTCGTTCGTCGGCGACCTGAAGGGAAAACTCGTTTGTTTTGAGAAGTTACGCTTATTTGTGGTGCTGATGCTGTTGTTTGTGTTAGTAGTTTTGGTTAGATTTTGTCCTTTTTTGTCTTTTTTGTCTGTTTTTTTTTATTGATATTGTCATTTCCGGTTATCGTTATCACTGTGATTATTTTCATGAGTATGAATAAGGTTTCTATCAGCACTATTTTCTTTGTGCATTTTAGGATTAACTGCTATGTAAATCATTTTTTAATGTTTCCTTAAAATTTATTGTTATGGAGCGCCATGAAATATCATCACTGTGCTATATCAAGATAAAAAAAAGTATTGGATCCCCTGAAGTAGAAGTGACAGCTGACACGTGGCGAGCGATGACATATGTGCTCGTGCACTCTTTTGCCTTTGTTTAGGTTAGCGCACTCGCATGCTTTTGCGCGTTTGTCATTGTGTAAATGAGTGAGTCAGTGAATGAGTGGCACAGTGAATGAATGAGTCAATGAATAGGTGAGTCAGAGAATGAATGAGCCAGAGAATTGGTGAGTCAGAGAATGAATGGGTCAATGAATAGATGAGTCAGAGAATTGGTGAATCAGTGAATGAGTGAGTCCGTGAGTGTGGGTGAGTCCGTGAGTGTGGGTGAGTCCGTGAGTGTGGGTGAGTCCGTGAGTGTGGGTGAGTCCGTGATTGTGGGTGAGTCCGTGATTGTGGGTGAGTCCGTGAATGTGAGTGTCCGTGAATAGGAATGAGTCCGTGAATCTGAGTGAGTCCATGGATGTGAGTGAATCCGTGGATGTGGGTGAGTTCATGAATGTAGGTGAGTCCCTGTGTACAGGCATGTGTCTGTGTATGTGCTTCATGTATATATTTCATACGAAATACTTGTTTACCTGATGCATATGTATGTTGTTAAACTGTAGCACATCCATGTATCTACACATCCATGTAACTGTATAGTGTATTTTTAGTGTATTTTGATAGTGGATTTATTTAATGTCCATCGATCTATACCTTACGCCAATTTATCTTGTAAAACGATGTGTATATAGATTTTGTAGAACTCGATTATACCGGTTCTCTCCACGTTTTAACTTTTTTTTTTCTTTTCTTCAGGTAAGGACCCGAGAACCGCCATGACCTCTCATCACCCTGCGGTAATGAATAGGATGCTGAATGCGAAGTCATCCCTGCGAACAGTCTGAGGAATAGAGAGTGAGTGAGTGAGTTAGTGAGTGAGTGAGTGA